TCTGCCGTGAAACAGTAATGCTTTTCGGTTTGAAGGATGGTGCAGCCGTTGTAACTATACTTGAGACCTTAGAACTTATGTCTCAAGGTGGGTGGCGCATTTACGCTGTAGATGTCTATGGGCTCCAGTATCCGCTTAACACCATAAACAATAAATAAATAAAAGCTTAAAATTATTGTCGTATTAATAATATAAAATTATGGTATTAACATCTTTTGATCTACATAATTCAAAGAGTCATTAACTAAATCCAAAGGAACTCTGAGATGGAATGTCAATCGGGTTTCTGTAGCAAATATTTAGTGTAACAAAATACAGACGATACAAATAGTTTGAGGTTCGCGACATTTTATTAGCAAACGAATTTAAGGACTAAGCTTAAGAAAAAATAGTTGGGACCTGGGCGGGCCCCCCGGCGCGCACTCTGCGTGGCCGGGGGCTCCGTCTATGGGGGAGTTTTGCTGGACTTCCACCGAGCGCGTCCGTAGGTGGCGGATAACGGGATCCTCTGGGAACAGTCCCACTCCCAGGGGTATCGTCCGATCTTTTTCGTTGCAAGGATTCTTAGGTGTTAGGGAGGTAGGTTAGGAGTAGGGTAGCCTAGTTAGAGTATCCTGTAAAAACTATAGATTGATGCGATCTATGAAAGCAGTTACTTAATTAACTTTTTTTTGCTAATGTACCGTAAATTGTGTAAAATTCAACTAGAACCTGCCAACCCTATACTGTTTCCGCAGTAAGACACGACTCGTATCCAGATTTCGCGGAAACCCTTGGCCACACACACGCGGTCGCACTACACAAACAATCAGACGAACAAACAGCGTTACAATCGTGACGCACGGCTCGATCAAAGTCTCTAGCCGCTTTTAGACATGTGTGAAGAATTCTGTTAATTTAGAGACATTATTCATAGAGTTGAAATTTATGAGTGAACCAAATTCTAATTCCACTTCCGTAAAATAAGACTGCGTGTTTGTAAACTGCAATTTTTTTAATAATTGTATTAATAACATCCGGCCCCAATTTAGGCTTCCTTGCGTTATGGGTGCCACAGAGTGATAAACTAGCTTTTACTAATTATTTTAATTTTTTTTAAATAGAAAGATTTAATAATATTTTAATAAAAAATAAACCTAAAAATACATGTTATTATCCGCAACATGCTTCGTCAGATTACATAAATACTTTTACTTATATTATTTGGAGTAATTCAGAATGAATAAACAATAAAAGGCTTAATTGCGTTTTCTGTTATATGTATAATAAGAAAACAACATTTGAAGTCCTTAATATCTTTTAAAATGAATGTTAAAAATTGAACAGTAAACAGTATTATTAAACTTATTTAATTAATAAAATATGTTACTGTTGAAAATTAATTTATAAATACCTTTATTATAAAAAAAAGAACACTATATTCCTAACCTAAAAGTACATGTTATTATCTGCAACATGCTTTTATTAAACTATATAAACTAGATAAAACTGAACGTTATATTTATTAAACTATATAAAACTGAACGTTATTTTTATTAAGTCGTCGTGGCCTAACGGATAAGACGTCCGGTGCATTCGTGTTGAGCGATGCACCGATGTTCGAATCCCGCAGGCGGGTACCAATTTTTCTAATGAAATACGTACTCAACAAATGTTCACGATTGATTTCCACGGTGAAGGAATAACATCGTGTAATAAAAATCAAACCCGCAAAATTATAATTTGCGTAATTACTGGTGGTAGGACCTCTTGTGAGTCCGCACGGGTAGGTACCACCACCCTGCCTATTTCTGCCGTGAAGCAGTAATGCGTTTCGGTTTGAAGGGTGGGGCAGCCGTTGTAACTATAATTGAGACCTCAGAACTTATATCTCAAGGTGGGTGGCGCATTTACGTTGTAGATGTCTATGGGCTCCAGTAACCACTTAACATCAGGTGGGCTGTGAGCTCGTCCACTCATCTAAGCAATTAAAAAAAAAAAAAAAAAAACTGAGTGAAAGACTTCGTGACACCGAAGGTAAATTATTTTTAAAAACTAAAGAGTTTTAAATAATAAAGGTTTTACTTTTCTATAATAATATTTTATGTTAAAATATTTACATAGATAATAAACGCTCAGACAAAGAGTAAGCAAACCTGTTCATTAAGCGAATGTTTGCCCGATGTGGGAATTGAATTGCACCACGAGTCGGTCAAACTTTTTTAACGTTGTTATGAGATATGAGATATACAGAGGTGCGTATCAAATATTAAACAGTTCTTCTTCTTAATCGGGCACTCTTGTCAGAGTGGTCATGGTTGCGCTAATGATGTACACGCAGAAGAATTCGTTAGGTTCCTATTAGTTTAGAAGAATGGCGTGCGCGTTAAGTTACCAGGGTCAATAGACTCCAGTAATTGCATGCTACCGTCCTATTCGAGATCTAGGTTCGAAGCCACATTGAACCGAGACATCGCTGGTTATTGACAAAAGTGGGTGATTCGTTGGTTCCGAATTTTATTGGTACTAATTAGCTCTAACTCCCTCACTAACATGTTTACAGGCTGATCTCTCTCCAGTTTCCAAACACTCATGTTACAAACCAATCACGCCAAACAAACAATCAATCGATCGAACAAATACGTGACATGGAGGGACGCAAGTATATCGATTAAGGTTTTCAGAAAATACTTCTGTTTTTATTTTTTTATTTTAGTAATTATAGCAGAGCATATATTGCTTTAACTTTGGCCGCGCAATGCATTTTCACCTCTTACAGTCTAGATTTATACACATCTAATTCATCCCTATTACTCTGAGATCTGCTCTGTGGCTTATTTAAAAAAAAAAATATAATTTCACACATCTGTATAGTTTTTTTTTACAAATTCTTCACTTCCACATTTTCCATTAGACGCTTTATAATGGTTCGAGAAATTATAAAAGGAACTATATTTTAAAATAATAAATTTAATATGTGTACGCGCTCGAGTCCCTAGAACTGACCTGAGGGTTGCGATTGATAAGATCTCTAAAAGCAAGGGACGGAACCAAATAGTATGATGACGATGGTAGTCCAGGAATAAAGGGTAATACGTACACATTATATTTTGGTTTGATATAATCAGTTAAACGTTATTTCAGTACCAGCTTATAGTACTTTAAAATATAATATTAGATGTCTTTCATAAAATGGTTCATTTAATAGCCTGCCAACTGCTAGTAGTCTCGAGAGGCTATTTTGGCTTAGGCGAATGTATAGGTGAGCTCAAGGGACTAGCCTGACAGAATTTGCTAACACTAGCCCTAACAAGAGCAGGGCTTCGCTGAATCGACCATTGGATCTGAATCGCAACCCACTGACAAGATCCGGCAAGATACTCAGAAGTTGCATGTTGAACCCAGATATCTGCCTCAGAATCGACGAGAACGGTGACCGGTGGTTGGGGCACCTAAAATCACCGAGAGTGGTACTTTTATATAAAAAAAAAGATATTCGATTGATAAACGAACGAGAAATTGGTTCTTAACCTACATATTATGTATGTATGCGTTGAAAATTATATTAATACTAGCTTTTGCCCGCGACTCTGTCCGCGTGGAATAGTTACTTTGACATAATGCTAAATTTTACCCACCACTTCATTTACGTAGAAAGAAATTATTTTTGAATTATAGAATGCTAAGGAGCTGTTTAAGCCCCGACTTTGAAACATTCTTTATTGGCGCTCTTATCTTAGCGTGATGTTATATAGCCTATAATAACCTTCCTCAATAAATGGGCTATCTAACACTGAAATAATTTTTCAAATCGAACCAGTAATTCCTGAGATTAGCGCGTTCAAACAAACAAACTCTTTAGCTTTATAGTATTAGTATAGACTAGCAAGGTAATTTCTTTCAAAATTCACTAAGAGTCCCATTTATTGAATTTCCCATTTCACACGTATTTAATATCTTGATGAGAAATCTTTTGCCTTCCATTGTTCGTAATGCGGAGTGGCCATGGGGCGACCGGCTTTGTGCACCGGGAAATTTGTACGTCGACTCACTTGATATACGATTTCGCTTCGTAAAAACAATTATAGACAACAATAAATGCAATTTTGTTTTCGCGGTAATAGCGCGGTAATTTATCACATAATTCAAAATTCGTATATTGACGATCTTTAAAAATTAACAAAACAATGACTATAGGTTAACAAAGATGTAGGTAGTACTTTGACGACATATTTATTATGTACTAGCTGACACGGCTTCGTAGTGCCTCAATCGATTTTGTATAAAATAAACTTAAAAAAAACAAAAGGAATCCGTCCGACACATCAAAGAAAAAACAAAATTGTTTGTTTTTATATCCAACATTTTATATACGAGCATTTTCATATTTATCTACCTTTTAAACCTTCTCTGGACTTAATAAATAATTCAAGACCAAAATTAGCCAAATAGGTCCGGCCGTTCTCGAGTTTTAGCGAGACTAACGAACAGCAATTCATTTTTATATATATAGATAGATAGATAGATTTCGTATTTCGTATGAAATACAAAATCAAATTTAAACGAAAATCAAAATATTCTGCCTATATCTCCCGTGGAGCAATCATGCATTCTGCTTTGCGGCATTTCAGTCTTCGACCTCATGTCTCAAGGCGACATGGTCTGCATTGACTACTTAATACCAGTTAGGCAGTAAAATCGTATCTACTATGTAAAAAATACAATGAAACGAAAGTATAACTCTAATTTTAAATTAATCTTAGTAGCGTGAGTGTAAAAACGTATCTATTATTAAATAGTCTAATTATTTTACAAAAGCTTAATTGTTGTATTTTTCAATGTCCGCTTCCAGAATATCACCTCACCGGCAGTAACAAAGCTCTACAAAACCTATTGTACTTTATTTAAGTACCGCGGGACGTAAACTGCACTGCGAACCCACAACAATGGTCAAAGGTAATTCCGTGTCAAGGATAAAAATATTGAATTCGAATTTTATTTCAAAACTACAAAACACTCACCTCATTAATTCCCGCATCATAACGCTGGCTGGTTGATTATTTAAAAAAAAAAATAATAATAATCGAAACACTCTAGAACAAATCGTTCAAAAATTATGTTCAAACACTCGTTATTCGCGAAAACGTCGGAAGGACCGCGTACGATATTCGCGTGCATTCGACACGAAGGCTGCGGCAATTCTGCTGGCGGCCGCGACGCGTGCCTGCTCTTGAACTTGCGACTTGACAGGTTGCATCGGCCTGCACACCGATGCATTTTCGTCGATACTTTTCCTGTGATTCTCTAGATCGCGGACGCGGCCCCCGCGGACACCTGCCAATCAACTTGGCGCGGGGGGAGCGGTGGGTCGTCTTACGCGTGCCGTTTTAGAGAAAGCGCCCAGTGGACGAACTCAAATTGAGTTGCATATTTACCGACTCATTAACAATCAAGGATTGCGGTTTCGGAATCATATTACTAGCGAATTAATTTATTAATGCTGTGTGTAAATAAATTAGCATTTAGTGATGCCGAGCTAGAACTTCTATGGGTACTGGAAATTCATGAGACCAGAACACACAGAACCGAAACACGTTTTTTTTTAAAAAAAAAACCCACCGATTTGTTACGGTATTCGAACTTGGATCCGAAATCGTTTTACTAGTTATTAAACCAAAGAGGTGATTTACGCTAACTACACTTACACCTGTTTTCTCCGCTACTTTGCATAAATTACGAAACCAAAAAGGTTGGGTGACAATAACCTAACATTTTCTATAAAATCTCACTATCCACTTGGTATTAAATGGTTACCAGAGCTAATACACATCCACAACATAAATGCCGCCACCCATCTCGAGACATGAGTCCTAAGTGTCAGATTTTTAATACAACAATTGCCGTACCCTTCAAACGGTAACGCATTACTGCTTCACCGCAGAAATAGGCAGATTGGTGGTATCTACCACTGCGAGCTTATATGACGACCACACCTAACAAGGCAGCGTTCAGGATCGGCGACTGAGGGCTCTAATGGCGTGAGAATACTTATATTAATTTATCAAGTCCTTGCAACATACTTGGTGACTCACCAAGAGAATCCGTGGTATGACTCAGTGCATTTCTTTCAACTACATTATAGAATACGGCTCAAATAAGAAGAAAAAACTAGTTAATAATAACGTTAACGAATGAGGAAAATATTGCTTTCTTATTAGCATACGCAGAAGGCATAAGCGCGTGACCCACTTAATTTCTAATGGTTGTGATGTATCCAACAGGAATTTAATTCCTAAATTCTTATAACATGAAGTCACAATTGCATACGAAGATCCTTTGAATAGCAATAGCCTATCCTTCAAATAGGAACGTATTCTCAATCAATCTATATATTAATACGTGAAGCAAAAACTTTGTATCCCTTTTTACGAAAATTGCGCGGACGGAGGAGTATGAAATTTTCTACACTTATAGAGAATATAGAGAAGAAGTGCACAATGCTAATTTTTTTTTTAAATAATGCATAAAACATACATTAAATCCATAAAGAAAACATTACACACACTACATACCATATATTTGACGCACACACGCATGCATACTATTTATTGTCAAAGTTTTGTTCTTGACGTCTGTTGTTAAATTGAGAATAGAATATGGTTTGTCTTTGTTAATATTTTTTATAGTGTAGTCTTGGCGAAATTTGTGATTATAGAAGTATAAAATACAATCATAATAGTGTACAAACTTACAATTCCAATTAATTATAGTCGAATCTCGACTACTGCGGGACCTCTAGTTTAATTAAATTTTTCATTCGAAAAATCATTATTCAAGATACTAAAAACTCTGACATTCAATACGTTTGACAACACTACTGACGGATATTCAGACGGCCTATTATAGTTTAAGATTATCTGGAAATTTCTACGAGTAAAATAATTCGATACTTGAATCGAACAAAATTTATAAAACCATTAAGATAACAACACACTCTAAAATACCTTAGCATCCATTACGTTAAAATTTCATTTAAAAAAAAAGAAACTACACTAAAATTGTTCACAGGTGGAACGTGTAATCATGAATTTATGTACGTCAATCTATCCGTTGATATTAAAGTAAATTAGAAGAGTACGCGCATAATAATGATGGTTATTAAGATGAAACGTTTTTGTTTTACACTATTATTTGTGCATTAACATCGTTGTACGCTTACAATGCCTAATTTTAAGAGGGAAAGTGCACGATGCTATCTGCACTCTTAGTTTTCATACGTTACATCGATCATCCGTCTCCTACATAAAGTTAATTTCATGCTGGTTCAGACAAAACAATGTATTAAAACATTATTATTATTTTTTATGAAGAAAATCTCCTGATCTTTTTATTGTCATTGTATGTAGACTAGCGTGATGTACTTTAGTAATACCAGGAGTACAGCTAAGTTATTCTCTACCGCTAAGTACTACTACGTTTAAATATTTTTAAACTATTTCTTAACTTTAAAACTATACAATTTTTGTAAAATTAATGATTTCATAATATGATCATATGAGAAATTAATGAAACGATTAGATATATAGGTATTTATAGAATTCATGATTCAAGCTAAGTTTCCTGATGTGAGTGAGGTCTGTCCCAGAAAATAACCGACCCCAGGTAAGGATGACAGTGACTATCAGGTTTCGAAAAACATTGAATTTTCTTCACCCAGGAATCGGAATTCAATTTCGTGTTTATAGCAAATATCTTAAAACTGTAAAAGTTTAAACGAAAATCGAAATAATTTCTATCTATCTATCTCTTAAGTTTATGGCGTTTCCTTTTAGATTTCGCCAATGTCAAGTGTATATAAAACTCTGCTTTCTATAGCGGGCTTCGTGAACGAGCAAGGTCACAGATATAAGAATGTTTGATGACAGGATCTCTGTTGATTTACCTAAAACAAATAGAAATAATTTCATTTGCTTTTTAAAAATACAAAGTGACAGTTAGCTAGGGTAACACGAAAATAATAAATCACGAAACAAATTATCAAACTTCACCAAAAAATTCAGGTAAAAGCAAATTTAAACGCATGTTTATCTTTGTAGTAACGCTTCGCGTTTTGAATTAATTACCTACTCGAATTAATACTTCACAATGAAACTAACATACCGACGTTTTTATCAAAAGAGATCGTTTACACGTAATTTTAATTATTACCCAAAATAAGAAAACAATTATCAAACGCATGTGAGTAAATTACGGTACATATGAGCGGTAATGACGAAGCGTGATTTAAAATGAATCACTTCTTACTTTCAGTCACTTTTTCCTGTTTTTATAAAACACTAGCGGCCCGCTCCGGCTCCGCTCGGGTCTTTAACAAAAATTTCAACGATATTTGACGTTGTTTTATTTTTTAAATAAAAGAACACTCTTTGCGGCATAACTACAACAGTTAGACATTTGCTGTTGCGACACTTTTTGCAATTAATAATGAGTTCTACAAAGTCGTAGTACATTATTTTATTCTATCATCAATAGTTTTCGCTGGACACGCGATGTAAAGAATATTTTAGGTAAAAATTTTACACAATGTGTCTACTACACACTAATGTCATTGGGTTACATTATTGGAGTTTTACTAAAGATCCCTAATTTTTTCAAAAAATATTATAGCCTATGTCACTCGGGAATACTGAAGCTCCTAAGCAGTGAAAGAATTTTTCAAATTGGTTCAGTAGTTTCGGAGCCTATTCAAAACAAACAAAGAAACAAATCTTTCCTCTTTATAATATTAGTATAGACTAATAATAGCATCTTGTTATCCGTATTCCGTTTGACTTCAATTTCTAATCATTTTAAAAACAGATGAATAAATAAATATAGGAAATAATATAGGTATACTCGGAGTTCTTTGTTAATGGATTTTTAGGGCTACTTTAATATAAATCGAATCCACATTTTATAACGAAATAATCGAATAATAAAATTAATGTAAACTAGCGGCCCGCTCCGGCTCCGCTCGGGTCTTTAACAAAAATTTCAACGATAATTGATGTAGTATTATTTTTTTAAATAAAAAAACGCATAATGCGGCATAACTATAATAGTCAGACATATGCTGTCGCGACACTTTTTGTAAATAATAATGTGTTCAACAAAGTCGTAGTACATTATTTTATTCTATCATCAATAGTTTTCGCAGGGCGTGCGATGTAAGGAATATTTTAGGTAATTTTTTACACCTTGGGTTACATTATTGGAGTTTTAGTAAGATTTCCTAATTTTTTCAAAAAAGAAAATTACCTATGTCACTCGGGAATAGTGTAGCTTCCAAACAGTGACATAATTTTTCAAATCGGTTCAGTGGTTTCGGAGCCTATTCAATACAAACAAACAATCAAATCTTTCCTCTTTATAATATTAGTATAGATAAATAATCTAATAACAATCGAATGTAATCGATTAATAAAATGATTTTATTAGTGCAAAAGTTTGGAGTTAATACAGCCGCTTTATTGTAAAGAAAACAATTCTTTTAAAGACAAGATAACATAGAATTTTACTACGATTCAATGAACATCAGTTTGATGTCAATTTTATCAGAGATAAATTTAAAGGCATAAAATTTAATAATCCTGCGTCTGTATTTGCAAGCAGACTGAATATAATTAGCTGCAATGCTGTTATTTATTACTCAACAGATAATTAGAGAGAATCATGATTCGTGTTATAAAACGTACCGCGGATTCACATTCCACTGTGTGTACAAGCCTGATTAGTGCCCAGTTTTATACAAAACTATATCATTTTCACGGATCCGCTTGTTAATTTTCTTATTACTATTTACATTATGTTCTAAGATACAACTATATTACTTATTATTAGTATTTTTACTATAGGAATTGATGGCTTCAAAGGTACAATAGCTAAAGTTTCAGGTACAGAAAATTATTACTAGAAGATATAAAAAAGGGCGGCGAGCAACAAAGACAGACAATTTTATGAAAACAATCATATACATTCGATCATGCCATTTTGCAGTGGTCATAAATCTGTAAAGTAAAGACCTAACTGACCGCTTTGAGACAATATTTTACAAATCGGATATTTTTCATAACATACATTCAAGCATTCAAAAAAATGTAGTTTAGATTCTTCTTTTTTCAAGCAATATAGAAGAATCTAATTCACGAAATAATAAAAATTTTGTGAGCGTAATAATACCACAAACACACTC